CAGGTTCGGACAACTCGTCCAACACACGTCTCCCTAAACGGCAGGGGGAGTCCCTGTCTAAGCCCCTGCCCGACGTTTTTTTCTACTTTTTCTTTCTCCATTGACCAACTTCTCACCTGCAACGTCATTATAGGTGGTCCTTACCCGCGAATTCGTTCCTGGATTGTTGCTTTAATCAAAGGCATGCCCCAGGATCACATTGGTGTGGCTCTTGCACACGAATGCGAATGTATTGGTGGAAATGGGCCGGCAGTAAAGAAAAAAGGAAAAGAATCCGTCAAAAACGCTTAGGTTAAGGGCTCACTCACCTTCCTAATCGGCTGTGCTAAGGGAATGAGAGACTAAGCGCGGAGAGGAGAGTATGGGCGAGAGAGCGCTACAGATGAGAGAGCGCCAGACAACAGTCTGATAGGAGAAAAGAATCTGCAGCTTGAGCAGCTTACTTTGCAAGGCCCAAGCGCTCTTGTCGGTTGGTTTCCGTGCACGGGAACGCCACATTTGTTCGATGGCCCTCTATAGGTTCTATACTAATAGACCGAAGGGGAGTATTCACACGACCTCTGCCTGGTTGTGCCTTTAACATTAGTAAACGACAACTGTCTGGAGGAAAAGATGCTGATTCGAGCATTGGCTGGCCCCGCAAGCCATCGTGAAAACAGCATCATATACAAGGGAATGCGCAGAGCATCCCAGAGAGGATCGACTGAAGCCGGAGGCTTTTATGTCTACATCAACAAGGGACCACGATCAAGAAACAGTGATCAAAGCACACTTTGGCCCACCGAAACCAGCGATCAGAAATCTCGAAATTGCCTCAATCTTGAAGAACGCAGTAAATTTCCAACGTTCTCATAATTAAGAAAGAGAAAACCTTTACAAACGAAACAATTAAAATGGTTCGTTTTGCTCCCTCCTCAGACGAACCTTATTACTATTTATTAGGCCAAATACGGGTGACCTTACCGTAACGCATTATTTCGGAGAACCGGTTGGAAATACGGACCCTGGCGAGCGGCATGAGGCTGGCGAAAATACTCAATAATAGGAAAACTCTCTTTCTGCAAAACACACAGAAATACGACTGTCATGAAAGAGCCAGACAAAATTATTTGCTGCATTATACTTACCACCACAGTGATGCATTTTAGATGGGATTACGGTACACTCAGGATACGGTAAATAGAAAACTACAGTGTTTGCCCCAAGAAACACTAAAATCTGGTCGGGCTAGGAAACTAAAAAGTTTTTCGCGGGGAACACTAAAATATGGCCGAGCTTTGGTAGTTGAGACAAGAATGATGCGATGTAAAGCAATGCTTCAGCGGTAGATGATCGTCGTTCTAGCGTCATCCACGACCATAAGCACCCCGTTGTACAGCTAAATGATGTCTTTCGACGTCAGCTACGACAAAAAGTCTCCATAAGCTTGTCACATTTATTGAAAGTCAATAAGTGAGTCACCCGGAAGGATTCATAAAAGCCACATGATCGAACAACAAAGCTTGTGAACGTCTTAAACTAAACCATATGTCGAGCTTGAGCTCTGCACCATGTCATGACTCATGTGACAAGTTCAGAGTAAATGAAAGCAAAGAATAAACATCAAATCCCTAGCTTTGCTAAATCTCCTCTCTGGGATCATGCATACGGCTTCTGACCTCATAGTGCCCTTCAAACGCGCGCCTACACTACAGAGTGCATCACAGGTGCAGCCGATGTAGGAAAAATTAAAATTTCCTCCCTTCCTACGAGGGTGTCCTGGTCTATTTTAGTCTTCTACGCATGGTTTGGCATTAGCACCACAGTATGGCACAATCGTAGGGTACATATCTCTGGGTTAGGTAGATTGTGGCAAGTGGGGTTCCTGGTAGACTCATTGAGGATTCGATTGACTCAGGCAATGTTCGACTCAGGGTTCATTCCCCATACCATAGATAAGGAATCATCGCCGCATGCCACTGCACTACCATTCCTCTTCTTCAAAGTAGAAAAGTAAAGCAGTCTATTCTAAAACTTACAGCAGGCATGGCATTAGCACCACAGTTTCCTAGTCGTAGGGGTAAGGGTAGGGGTAAGGTAGTATTATGGCAAGTGGTGTTGTTTCTACGTGCTATGCAAACGACTAACAGTAAGGTGTTTTTCCTGAAGCGAATCCTACCTGGCCAGCTGAATACCTTACTACCCAGTGCTCCCCCTGTAATAATATTGTGCAGAATTGACCATCTGTGAGGCTCGGGGTTGCTACTCTGGACCATACGAAATATGTAGGCTGCTCAGTATACTTCACTGGTTTTTATAAAAATATATTCCTTACAAATTCATTGCGTTTTTCAATGCCTTTTCCTTACCTCTGATGGCAGGCACGCTCAGCACAAAGGAGTCCTCCTTGCTTCACCTTCTTACCTTTTCCCTTTCCCAACTACATTTTTGCCCATACAGCGATTTCTGCTCTTCAAATGCATGGCTGCTCGATCAACGATGTAGTAGTCATCGAAAAGATGAACTGGAGATGGAGCCATTAGTGTTCACATTTTCATTTAAGATATGGGTATCCGCCAAAAATCGAGGCAAGCTTTTAGCAACCCTGGCTTGCGAGATGCATCATCTTGGTCCGAAAAATAAGCTATCAGATTAGCGCTGTCGCTCTTTACACAGCGTGAATGATTGCCATGAACACCTGTGGGTGGAGAAACTCATACCTTCAGGTAAAATTGAATCTCAAAGACCAAAGCCACTCTTCAGTAGGTTTCATCATTTCGGAGCGAAAGAGACTCGTTAAAAGTTCTTCGAATGGACTTCGGCTGGCCGGCTCTATTAAAATATTACACCAAGAAGGCCAGCCGAGTGAAAGGACTTTCATTGAAAATTACCTGAAAATGGATCAAGGTGAACGAATGGCTAATCAGTGCCTCACCCTCGCCCCTCCTCAGCAGAAATTTTCTGCGAAGCAAGGGTTGAGCCCTAGGTGAACCTTGACGGATCGCGTCCCAGTGCAACCTTATCTGAAACGCAGGTGGAAAGGCGTCTTGTTCGTTTGCTACATATCTCAGGGAAGCTGTTCCTCACTGAACGATCACGAAATAAAGTAGCTGCTCCAAGTTGGAGTTAAGGTGGGCCTCCTTGCGTTTGACGGTGGTGGGAGATAGCGTCATATTCTGAAGACGGTGAGAGCAGAGAGGGAGAGTTTGCTTCTGCTGTGGTCCAACAAATCGTAAGTAATATTTCTGCAATATTTCCATCAATGGCAGCATCCTTTACAACGAAAAGTTTGCTGATGTGTGGAATAGGCACAATGTCTTTTTTGTCTCCCCCTTGTATATAGCAAGCCGGCCTTCTCTGAGACTCCTTCCCCATTGCATTCATTTGTATATCGACCCGATTCCATGATGCTACAATCTAAACACACATTAAAATGTCGTTGCGGTAGTTGCGCTGGTGCAGCACACATTAAAAGAGCTCTGTCAGTGCCAAAAGCTCATTTGCCACCCCCCCCCACGATGACCTCAAACTCATATGCAACAGCTATTTCCACCCCCCCCCCCTAACGCTATTAACAAGTGCTCAAGTCGTAGCCCGAAAGAAGACTCTGACGCGTATGATGCTCCAGTTTTAGCTGAGGTGTGGTTCTTGCGTTTGCATGGTGTGGACAATGACTCATATTCTGAGCACGAGACGTGAGGAAGAAAGCTTGCTTCTGCTATCGAAGCCAGTTGAATGATATTCTGTTGTAATACTTTCATCAATGGCAGTTAACAGGAGTAAAAACTATCTCTGAGTACAGCCATCGGAACTGATACTCTTGACCACTTACCAAAGTTTCTCCAATCTAACAACAGTAGCAGTCGGGAAGGATGAAATAAATGAAGGTCGGAGAGTCGCAATACAGTCAAAGCTTTCGTTCAACGACGGCCCTGTAGGTGAAGTTTGTGCATTGGTGTTACGGTGGCCGCACCACGTGCTTAACGCACAGTTCTAGTCAATGAGTTGCTCTTTGTAGCGAGGCGGAGCGCTAGTGGAGTGCTCGGCTTTCATCAGAGTTATTGCCATTGAAGAGCCTGTCGAAAACCAAAAACGCTTCATCCTACGTGCTGTCTTCTACGATCTTCAACATAGGAATGTGTTACGAAATTGAATCGAACATTCTTCTGATCACAGAACTTCTAGAGAGTTTGTTACATATCATCCCATTGAAATTCGAGTTATCCTGCAATTCTCTTTCCAACAGTACGTAATATAAAGGTTTATAGTTGCAGTAATATTTGCAATACCAAACGTCGCAGCTTTTATAGTGAAACTACTTCCAGTGTTTCCCTAGGTTGAACAGCTTGGTGCTTATGAAAATGAGCTGGTCTGACGATCCCTTTGCTGGCAAATTCGCATATATTCGTCGAGAAGGTAACAAACATGTGACAACATTCCCATACGACGGCCACAGAAACTTCTGTCAGGTTTGAGGCATTAGGGCTCAAAGGAGGAGTTCACGATAGAACGAGTAAGAAGTGAAGTGCCTATGGAGACAGGTGACCTCCTGGGTGCCGATCGACACGCAGTTGCCGCGAAAATTTTGACCGTTCCGGCAGTATGGCTCATATCTTACGGCAATGGGGCCCACCGGCTATCATAATCATTCGCCATAGAGCATGCATTTAAAACATCAGCAAGCGTAGCATTGAGAGGGACACGTGCGATGAGATCACATCATTCAATACCAAACCGAACAAACAATAAAAATATACATGTTAAAATATAGAACGGTTTGTTTCGCTCCCTAACTCAAACAACTCAACAAATCAACGGGCAAGGAAGGGTCCCATTTCTCGGGTTTCGGGCCGTTTCAAATGGTTTCTTCTTCATCCCTGCTCCACTGACCACCTCTACCCTTATTTCCAATGAGCTAACTTTTCATCGTAAATTCTGCCTTTAAATGCGTCTATGAACGAATTCGAAATCGTAAATATACATTTATTGTGTACGAATGCATGTAATCAGGCAATATACTGATGGAAGGGACTAAACTAGAGGGTGCAGGTCGGTCCTGAAACCCGAGAGTTCCGTTAGTCGCTACAAAACGTGTGGGATAGAAACATGGAGCAGTACTGGTGGACGGGCTGGACTCATATTCACGCAGCTAACTCCTTTTTTCAGGATCGTTGGCGGTACTGAAACTGTCGATGGTGACACCAGATGACTCGGGTGAATACACTGTGGTTGCTGAGAACGCATTTGGCAAGGTATGTTCATTTCCTATGAAATATTTCCCACTGAGATGCTTTGGGAGATCCCGCGGCTGGAAATGGATCAATCTGTCGATGTTGTTTAACTCGTTACTGACTCGATCGCGCCTCGGCAGCACTTTACAACGCTCAGGGTCTTTGACCGAAAAAACTCAAATGTGCCTCGTCTGTGTCGACAGGCCGACACACCCAACGAGAGATTTCTCAAGATTTCCCCGATCACGATATCTCAGCGTCTATTGACCAATTGTGTGGGCAGTTTCTCCACAGAAAAGTAGACCTGAAAGTTGGCAACACGCGCTGGGTTGAGTGGGAAAATCGTAGGCGTGAGCACACTTGAGTGTTCTCGGTCTCGGCACCCTCATCACCACCCTGCCTACCGACGACACCTCGAACTGACTTCGCAAACTGTACCTATGGATTTTCAAGCAGAACAATCGAATACGTGATGTCGGCAAGCGTTCTGACGCTTCATTCGTAATGGTGGGCGCTGACGCGGTCCGTGGACAGTTGGCAGGCGAAGGCGCCGCGTCGTTGGCGGCAGATGTCTATTGTTTTGCCTGAGGCTTACTTTAATTAGTTGCCACCATTCCACCCACCTATCACTCGGTCTCCACCTACCCAGGTGCTTCCTACTACTTCATGATCAACTGCAGGTTCACTGTCTGACCTTCCTGCACCCAACAAACTCTCTCGCCTTCCCACCGGCCACATTCTCCCACGACCGCCCCAATCATCTGTTTTAGCTATTCGTCATTTTCTGTAATAAAATTCTGCAGTGTAAATCCGCCATCATATTATATATAATTTCAAGTGCTAGTTGAGCTCACATTCAGACTTGACCTCCTGTGGCGAGCTCCCTTCTCTCATGAGCGCTCACTGGGGCATCTCCTCGCCTCTTTATCACAGGTGTTACACAGCTATTCGTCTGCCAGCAATCAGCGGCAAATCTCTGGATCCGAATTCAATTCGACTCCAGTCGTTGGTGCAGCGCTTAGCCGGCTGGCCGGCTCTATTCTCAACCACCTTAATCCTAACGTCTCGACCTTATCGTTATCAGGCTGTTAAGGATCCTGGGCAGATGCGCCCATCTGACGATGGCGTTCCATCGCGACGCATCTGTTTGCTTGTCTCTCTAACTCAACTCACGAACTCTTTCTTCAGTGTGTCAACCGTTTTCGCATGAGCGTAAATATTTGGCGGATATCCGCTCTTCATCAGCCGCTACCCCTTGCGATTGATTCGCTAAGATGTTTCTCAAGTAGTTATTTCTTTGCTTTCTTTGAATCCACCCAACTTTTAGAGCGCAATTTCAGAGTCTTCAATTATGCTCCATTTCTTTATTTTTTACCTATTTTTCTGGTCTTTCAAATTAATTCACTATGTTTATTGGCCGGTAACCACAGAGGGCTCTGCGAGGCCCAAGCAGTATCTTCACAGCACATTTCGCTCCATAGCATCGCCTTCATAAGATCCTGTCGTAGGATTCCCTGCTGGAAGAGCCCGACGGCCATCTTCCCCAAAATTTTTGTTATTTTCGAAACCCTCCTTAAGCTGACACCTTTGTTTTTTGATCAAACCGCATCGCCTGTCCGCTTAGCTGCTTCCCTACTCAGCAAAGGGTGCCATGAGATCCCAGCAGACCACTCACCTTTAGCCTTTCTCACCCATTGCGACTTACTGCCACGTAGAAAAACAATCTCCACCTCCGTCACCTTTTTTTTGAAGTGAACCTCTCGCCCACCTTACCCCATGATGATTTGCATTGTAAAGCGAGTGCTGAGGTAAATAGGGCGGCGTTGAGGCGCTCACGGCAGCAGCAGCGATGGCAGCCTCAGGCTTCAGCTCTTTTTCCTGCCACACGATGGAGGAGAAGTGTAAGCGTGGCGATGGTAGGCAATGCTAAGCGGCGAGCATATTCCATTCTTTGAAGTTGATTTTCTCGTTTATACTGTGATTGCTACCTGGAGATATCATTGGTCCTGTTTAGGTCCGCACTAGCACGAATTGCTCCAGCTCTTATGAGGGAAGGCTGCTCGATTGCGGATAAATTTCCCCTGGCCGTACCTTCGCCCCAGCCTACGAACTGTGTGTCGTCAGGTTTTGGAGGTGGGGACCGATAACGTTTAGGAAGAAAAAAAAACAAAAACCAAATTCTGGTCCCTTTCCTGCTTCCTTTGTGATAGTTTAGATTACGGGCATAGTTACTTTGGCAACCCCAACCCAAAATGATCCATGGAATATCACCATGCTCTAGTATTTTCTAGCCTTGACCCCAATGCCAAGTTCAGCTGTTCAGGGGAGAGAACTGACTCAGCCCTGGTTTCCAAGGTCAATGAAGGGCTGGGTGTAAAATAAGGGAGACCCGGGATTAGGGACTGGCAAAAGTAGGGCTGAATAAAAGCTTTCAGGTCTGCCATGTGAGGCGATGCCGCTACTGCTCTGTCGCATACTCCTGCAGGGTCGGGCTTGGCTTTATGATAAGGCTTGGTCAGAGAGGCTGTCCAATCGAAAAGCCGCTCTAAACATCCTGTCACCAGACTGGAAAACAAATCGTCACTGCATCCCAGTTGTACATGCCTTCGGCAATGGGAAATCATTTGTCAGAAACTTTTCTGCAAAGATCTTGTTGCCCCTTTTGGCTAGAATTTTGACCTTTCGAGCACTCAATTATCACGTTATCCATGGCGCCGGAGTCCACTTGAAGTCAATATAAATCTATCGCGCCATCCCTCCTACAGTATTCCTTTGGCAAATATGAGTGTCACTGAGAGCAGCTTTCTTAGCTATTCTTTGGCCTCAGCCTGACCATTTCTGGTCAATCGTAACTTCGAGAGCAGTAATGAACATACCATAGGGAATAGTAGAGGTTGACCTCCTAACACCTCTAAGCTATAACGAGCGCGCAATCAAATGTCTCCACGAAATCCAGCAAAGATCAACGCCTGGCGTATACCAAAGCAATTTGTCAACAAATATGTTTTCTCCCTTACACACTGGCGCACACAAGTTATTACGCAATGTAATATTTTCTGGTCGATGTGGACTTTTTGTGTTCCCTTAAACTTTCTGATTTATTCGCTCAGCTTTATGCCACATTTTTCTTGATTTACGGCCGAGATTACCAAAAAATACCTATGGCGATTAACATGTGATTTAGTGGTGTTGATTTCAGGTTGAAAGCGCGGCTCGCATTGAGGTATACCCTCTTAGCGCGCCAGAGGATCGAGCCAAAGAGCAGCAACTTAGACAGCAGCAACAGGTCAGTACATTCTCATTTTTCCAGCCAGTTGCGAGGGTTGGCAGAGGTCGAGCTGTCTGCTTGACTGCAGTTGATGCATTTGTTTACGATTAGTTTTACCAATTATTCGCTTCGTGTTTATTGGATGGCCTCTTCACGGCGCCTATGGTATGCAAGGGTTTGCAGTTGTCAACCCAGGGTTTAAAAGAAGGGCTCAGTGTAATGAGGAAGTGTGGAGGAGAGGGGGGATGAAAGGTATCAAATTGAGTATTCTGCTGGAAAAACGACAAAGCTGTATGAGAGCTGGGAACAAGCACTAGCAAATAGGACGGGTGAATCCCATTCAAAGATGGGACGAAAAAAGAAAAATCCAATTCATTAAATTAAAATTCAAATCCTGCATGCTAACAGCCGATTACGCAGGATCGGCTTCGGAGTAGTTTTATATAGCTATAATTATATAGCCGCTTATTAGGCTTTCCTTTTGAAGAATTAGCAATGAAGGGAAAGTGGATAAACAGGTTACGGTGAGGTATATATGCCCTCGTAGTCACCCAGGGCCGTATCTTATCCTTCTCTCAGGGGACCCCGCCCCGCCGCTGTTCCTATCCTATGCTTGGGGGAGACAAGGTTGCGTTATAGGACCCGCCATTGAACGCGTGGCATTGTAGCTACCCTCCTACGTTGAGGCACTCTTTTCTACGAGGGGTTGCGTTGTCTGGAATCTAGAAAAGCAGAGGCACGTATGGGTGGTCCTATGACGCAACCCTGTCTCCCTAACCGTAGGATAGTGATCAGTCTCCAGAACGTGCTGCCAAGGGAAAGGTGGATAACGGCCCAAATCAATGAAGGCTCCTCTGCTCTCTGCCTGGCCCACTTGCTTCTCCTATGCTTTAGCTTTACCCTGACATTTCACTCTCTGGATACAAGGGAGACCTTTTCTGTCAGCATTGTCGCAAAACTTCCCCACCTTTTGCATCAAGGGTAAGGGTGAGATCGACTCCTATCACTCCACTGCCACTTTTTTCATGTCCCCACTTCTATTTCCCATAATTTTACCGTATTCCGGAATAGTTTTTTGATTTCTGAAACTACAGTAAACTCTACTCTCTGCCATTTTCCATCACCATTTGGTCTAACTAGCCTCACTCATTCTTAGGCACGACCAGGACGAGTTCCAACTCAGCAAAGATTGGCCCTTCGGACCAATTGATTCATCGGGTGTCCCCAGGCAATGCCGGGGAAAGTGCTCCCAGTAATGCGGGAGTGCCTCTTAACATTTCTGTTATTGCTTTAACAAAGTTACAACAGTGTTCCGTGGATGTGCAGCAGAGGGGTTACCTGCTGGGTACATGCGTGGGTGTATCCAGTCTACTTTGAACATCTGGGCTTTATAGCCTTGGTAACGACCCAGATGCTTTCGATTGGGTCATTCATATTAGCACCACTCGAAAAACTGCCAGTTCGGTATACGTTGTGAGCGATTACTCTTCAAGAAGAAGCGCACTGATTCTACGAACTTACCATTTCTCAATTCCTTTTCAGCTCGCAGGAGCTATATTCCTTCGCCTCACTTCATCTCTTATAACAGTTCAATGAATTTTATAATTACTACTATATAATTACTGCATGAGCACCGCCTGAGTACGAGCTTGTTTTCAGTATCTCCAACAGCAACTTCGATACGAAAAGGCGCTTGAACGGGAACAAATCGAAAGAAAAGCTCGAGAAGAGGAGAATCTTCTGATACGAGAAGAGCAGGAGAGGCTCAGACGACTCTTCGAACGAGAGCGCGCCGAGAGGGAACGTCTCGAGCAGATTCGTCGTCGAGAAGCCGAAGAACGTGAACGTCTTCTGCGACAACATCGACTCGACGAACAGGATCGTTTAAGGCGAATCGAAGAAGAGAAACGTCTTCGACAATTGCAGGTAGGAATTCGTCATGGCTCGAGCTGCCGTACTGGCATGCTTTCATCTCCTTTTCCTTCCTTTCTCATTTCCCTTTCCTACTGCATTCCATCATTCCTCTGCACAGCCTACCCATTCCTGCCATAACTACGAATTAATCTTACCAGGTTTCCAACTTACCAGAAGCAGGGATAGCCGAGTGGTTAAGAGTATAGGCTCACTCGCTGTAACTCTGAAAGCCGGCCCTGGACCTCGCACAGGTGCGAACACCTACAGCACGATTCGCATCGAAAGGATATGCGCCTAGCTTAGCTTTATGCCTTGGCGGCAGTTGGCACGGAACGCCCACCGACTATCTAATCACTTGTCGCAGGTGTGTATATCCAATAAGCTACCCTTCGTCGTGATATCTGCCTTTAGAAGTGAGTGTTCAAGCTAAGACGTCACTTAGCAGATCCTGCGACGGCGCGGGACCAGCGCTAATGCGAGAAAGAAGGTTTCCGTCTTATCACCTGCTGGGTGGTCCTAAAAGTCTACTTTGGTATTTTTCTGTGCCGTCGAGGCTGTTGGATGAAACTCTTAGCTCGGGCCTGAAATTTTGGACCGTTTGAACCCCTCGAAGGCCAGGTCAACCACTGGGCGGCCGGAGTAGCGTAAATCCTACAGCCATAGACCGGCTCTTGAGGAAAAGGATCTCGTCGGGTCGTTCGGCCTTGATGAGCGCTCCATCCAGCGAGCTTGTCGGCACAAGAAAAGTATCGCATCAAAATCGATGCCGAGGTTTTATGAGCAGGATGGTTGGATGCAATTCCTGGAAGCTTTTTGCTTCAGCTCTCGTCAATGCTTCACGACTGACATATTGCAGTAATGCAAAGTGGAATGTTCTCTCCGAGGTGGTCGTCCCAGAATCGTCAACGGGAATATGTAGCTTGGAGAGGAATATTGCGTCATAGCTTTTCCTCTTATTATTCCTTCGGGAGCCGCACCTGAAGAACCCTTCTCTCCCCTAATCAAAAGCCCTTCCTGGTCTTCTTCTCATCTCATCTTGACCAGGAGGTCAAAAAAAAACTCGCATTCAGAGCAGTGAAGCTGTACTTTCCTCGATTTTTAAACCCTCCTGTGATAGCTCTTTTCATTGCGCAACCTCCATCGAGAAAAAAGCTGAGTATTTCAGTGGAGTCAGCCGTACCAACTGCAATATCCGCCCCAGCAGCAACAACAACAGCAGCAGTACTGGAATCAAGATCCATGTGAGTGTTACGAACATCCATCATTACCTTTTTCTGCGTTCTTCCTCTGATCCCAGGCGAAACGTGACTTTCTCACTGGTGGATAAGTGGGCAGAGCGCTGCCGGCTTGTTTAATTTCTCTGTTTCGATTTTTAGATTCACGTAACGCTCAACAGTACGTTCCATCTTCTACACAAGAAGTCTTATACGATCAGCAAACCTTCGTTCAACAACATCCGCCACAACCTGCACCCAGGGTTAGTCTTTATCTCATAATATCCGATAATTTCATTTGACTTATTGAATTACTGCTTAGGCCTCGGTGCAGTGACTTCAGCTGGCTCTTACCATTCGCAAGGTTGAGCCTACATCAGCATTGTAGTCTTCCCTAACTTTGTGGGGCAATAACTTGGTATTTGTAGGTAGTTTATGGGTAAAAAGTTCGGCTTCGTTCACGGGGGAGAGGTTATGGATGGGAGAACCTTTCGACATAGACATCGCACTCCTGCGAAGGTTGTGTAGGCAGCCAAATGAATCTTCAGAATGGAATCTGGGTTCCCTTTGCATCTTACTGGAATCGGTTTCCATCCACATCTCCGAGTTTTCGTGCATTTATTGATCTTCTGAGGTGCTATGGCACTCCCATACTATTTTATTTTTATACGGAGTGGAAAAATGAATTTTACGGCCATCAGTCATCTGTGCAATCGCGCCCACTTGAGAAATCGCGATGCGCATACATAAAGTCTGGTATCCCTGTGGTACGGAATTGCGAAATCCCTCCGACCTATGAAGTAACCATTTCCTTTCTCTCTGGGAAGAATTAAAGGATAAAACAATGAAGCATTTGCCGTTGACCAATCCTTGACTTCTTAATCCTTGAAAACACTTCTTAATCCGAGTTATTTCAAGATATTTATTTAGAACTCAATAATTGCATTTTTTCAGCATTTTCAAGAGTATCATCGATCTGTCCCATCAGATAATCAATTCCGTCAATTCACTCAATATCAGAAACACATCGAAAGCCAACGAATCCAAAATATGCCTGCTTTGAAGCCAACACCGGTAAGTGCTGATGGCTGGTTGGACGAGTAACAGTTAATAAAAGACTTTCTCTCCAGGGTACACAGACATCTTCGGGTCCAATGGCAAATGGAGAATCAGCAGTCAGTGCCACACGTACCAAAGTGATTCCAGGACATTCACATGAGCATGGCGCATCTCTAGTACCAGTAAGTTATATTTGCGGAGCGAAGAAAACCTTGGGAATAAAAATTTACTATATTTAGTCGCGTCCACCACAGTTCCTTGTGCATCCACAATCCATCGTCTGCCAAAGCCGGAGAAACAGTTATATTCACTTGCAAGGTAGGTCGAACTTTCGAACCACTTTCGTAGGTCAAGAGGTACCCCTAATTCTGAGAATCCGTATTTTGGTGTGCTTCAGAGAGCGAAATTTGTCCCAACGTCTGCAGCTCGCTGTACATCCCATTTATAGCTTACCCATTCAATCCTCGACGATTTTATGCCAAAGACAAGAACATGGCGCAATCTACAAAATGCCTAAAATTGTTCCTTTCAGACCACTGGAGTACCACCACCAACCTTGGAATGGTGCCTTGTTGATGGTACCCCCATAAAAGATGGTGGTAAATTCAAAATCGAACATGGTAGCGCCGGCGACAGTAAACTCATCATCGAGAAGGTGAGTGAGGAGTTCGGCCCTTTGTACTTCTTTTCCTACTTATTACCTTTCTCGGGCACCAAAGAATGCTCCTTGCTTTCAGGTCGACGCTAACGATGCAAACACGTACGCGGCCATTGCACGAAACAGCGGTGGAACGTTCCAGAGCCGATTCATGCTCAACGTACTACGTCAGTATTTCCTCATTAAGTTGGAGAAAAACACTTTGCAGATCTCAATACCCCAAGAATCCCTAATTGGGGTCTCAAAGCTTTACACAAGGGCTAATCTTATTACAGCCCTCCCTTTTATGCCCTCGCACCGATATTGCACTGTACCAGTCCCGTCCTGCCGAACCATGTTCCTAATCGCTTACAGTGCCCGGTATATTCGATTGTTTTGGGCGGGCCATCATCGTCGTACGTGAATTTCTGTTCTCTCGCTCAAGGTTGTTGTATCCTGGTCCTCGCTTTGGCAAATTGCCCATTTTGATGAATACCGTACACAAGTGTAGAGGCGAGATATTGGTTCGACCTCTTAATACCGACAAATTTCGAGGGCCTTCCTCACAAATTATCCCAGTTAGTCATCACTATCTAGGACAGCGCCAATCTTTGACCTCGGAAATAGGTCGGAAGAGATGCGGGGGTAGGTTACTAGTGGGCATTACTGATAGGACCAGGTTTGGCTCTTATCCGAACGTAGCTGTCCGCTCGATCCACTGGAGTGATCACTTGCTTGGTGTTTCCTGGTTTTTTACCCCTCTCCACTTTCCTCTCTTCTTCATTTTTTCTCCCGTCCAACTGCCGTTCCCCTTGCCTCGGGTGAGATTGATGACATACCTGTGCTCACACAAGACTGCTGATACTACCTTTAATATTTTTCTAATGCTGAAGCATTTCAGAAGCCAGACCTCCAGATGCACCGGAATTCACCGGAAAGTTCCAATCGACGACGATCTACGAGGGCGATTCGGTGAAGTTGTTCTTGCAGAGCAACCGGCGATAAAATCACCTACAAATGGTTCAAAGACAACGAAGAACTCTCAAGTTCACCACCATACAAGTAAGCTTTTTCTAGAGAGTCATTTTCCATGGGTTTTCAAAAATAGGTCCAAATAGATTATCCGTGTTCAACGTTAGGCGTAGGACTGCCGCTGCATTGCAACTTTGGAGCAGTAAAAACTGCTTCAAACTGCTCTCTGTCACGCAATAACCTCATACACAAATATGATCCGTGAAAAAAAACCGAAAAAATAAAAATATTACATAAATGATCGAGGTGGGACGCTGAATGTATGATCGCATAGGGACAAAAGGTTTTGCTCGCTCTTCTTTGATTAAAAGGAGCCACACAGAAATGCTCAACCTGACGTCAGTCTTGGAGTTGGCCCACAAGCCTTGTCCGGGGCTCTCAGCTCTGAGCAGGAAACTGTACCTTAAAATTCAGAATATGTTACTACTAAATAGAGGAAAGGATACTTCTGTGACAGTACTCCGAAAGGGCTAAACGTCCGCTTGGCCATTTTTACTCCGCTCGAGTGGATGGACGATTACTCTTTCTAGCTCTACTCGGGTTGGGGGACGGTTTCGAGACTAGCGCAAAACGACGATAGTCTCTGACTACAAAACCACCATGGAGAGTTAGGTAGCTAGTTTGCCTTTTTACCGAAATCCTCCGTATTTTCAGGATTGAGACCAAAGGAAACGAGACGACACTTTACATAGAAAATGCGACGATGGCTGAAGGTGGCTGGTACCGCTGCGATGCCATCAACAAGTTCGGCACCGACCGCTAAAACGTTAGTATTTTTAGCACCAGGGAAGTCATGGCGCCTCAATATAGCCGTATACATTGCCATTTCAGGGTCGAGTGGTCGTGCAAAGTCGCCAGAAACTTGGCCCAGCACATCGTGAGCAAGTCACCCTCAGAAAAGTCGACCGTCGTATGGCTAGGTTAGATTGCAGTCGAGTATGACCAGTTATAGGGTTAAGTATGGGATTTGTTTCAGAACTCCTGTACCTGTGAATGAAATGCAAGACAGAGCGGCCTCAAAATCAGCGCCAGTATTCTCCAGCAAACCGCAGACATTGAACCTAATTGAAGGTCAGACAGCTCGTCTCGAGTTCAAATACTCTCCAGCTGACGACCCGAACATAAAGGTAAACTGAAAATATCCCAGTGTTCTATTTCGCGCTCCGCGCTAATTTCTGGGCTATTACAGATAGTATGGCTGCTGAATGGTAAGCCACTTACACTCTCATCTCGCGTTACAACCATCAACGAGAAAGGACTCTCCATTCTTGAAATTAACCCGGTTACGGTGTTCGATCAGGTACGGTAGGTTACTGTATACGCGTAGGTCATGTTGGGCCCCATAATTGAACACTAGCCTTTTAGGGAGAGTACACAGTGGTCTTGGTGAATCCTCTGGGAGAAGCTCGCAATTCTGTGGTCCTGAATGTAATGGGTAAGTATCT